CTGCTCATGTTTTCTCCTCACAGCAGCCCATCCTGACCACCAGCTTTCCTGACACTGTGCCCCACAGCCATGGGGCCAGGACTAGGGGGCAAAGGCTTGGGGCAGGAGGGCAGGACCTGAGAGGAGACCAGCCTTGGGCTCTGTTGAGCCCAAGATGTGCCACCCACCCACCTTCCCATCCACCCACCCATCCACCCTCCCTCCTCCCACCTGGTCCTCCATGGGACAACTGAGCGTTAGTTTCTGCCTTTGTAAAGTGGAAATAACAAAGTTGCCTCATTAGGTTTTATTCTGAGGAGTCAATGAAGACACTTTCTGTAAAACACTCATCACCAGGTCTGGCACAGGTAAATTTCCATTAAATAGGAGTGACTGTTTCTCATTGTGGTCTGGGGCCTTTGTGTCTCTATAGTAAAGAAGGCAAGAGAGAGAAGGAGAAAAGGGCCAAGAAGGAAGGAGAGAGCAACTTGGGGCTGGAACTGGAGGAGTCCCAACACCAGGCGAAAGCCACGATCACCCCCATGTGAAGATTTCCTGCCCACCTCCTCCAGGCAGACCTCCAGAGATGCCTCTGTAACAGGTGACCTGGACCTGAAACGACTGAAATAACTACAGGAATACAGACCCCGAATGAAGAGGCTTGGGACCTGCCTCCCCCCACCCCCCAAGAGGGCTCTTTGCCCCTTCCATGGTCTCCATGCACCTCCTTTCCGATTTGTCCTATGTGGTGATTCTTACTGACGCGTGATGAAGAAATCCCCTACTTCCCACAACCTCGTGGCTCCCCCGCTCCCACCCACTGTCTGGTTTCTTTTCCCTCTGCCTGATAGTTCTTGGTTAGAACCTCCCCCGCTCAGGATCAATATGGGCCAGGACTGCCTCTTGAGAACCTGCATTAAATAATTGATCAGAGCCCAGCCAGTGTGCTCAGTGGTTAACGTCGATTAACTGAGAGGTTAGGGTTCAATTCCCAGTCAGGGCACATGCCCAGGTTGCGGGCTTGATCCCCAGTGGGGGATGTATAGGAGGCAGCCAATCAATGCTTCTCTCTCATCACTGATGTTTCTATCTCTTTCTCTTCTCTCTCCCTCCCTCTCCCTTCTCTGAAATAAATAAAAATATATTTTAAAAAAGAGAATTGATCAGAGCTGCCTAGCCAGTGTGGGTCTATGGATGGAGCGTTGCCAATATACCAAGAGGTCACATGCCCAAGTTGCAGACTCCATTCCCAGTGCGGGGTATGAGGTAGCCCGTTGATGTTTCTCTCTCACATCACATTGATGTTTCTGTCTCTCTCTTCCTTTCCCTTCCCCTCTCTCTAAAAAATAAATAAAAACATATTTTAGCCCTAACTGGTTTGGCTCAGTGGATAGAGCATCAGCCTGCGGACTCAAGGGTCCCAGGTTCGATTCTGGTCAAGGGCATGTACCTTGGTTGTGGGCACATCCCCAGTAGGAGGTGTGCAGGAGGCAGCTGATCGATGTTTCTCTCTCATCGATGTTTCCAACTCTCTATCCCTCTCCCTTCCTCTCTGTAAAAAGTCAATAAAATATATTAAAAAAATATTTACAAAAAAGAAAAGAATTGATTTGCCCTGGCCCATTTGGCTCAGTGGATAGAGCATCGGCCTGTGGACTGAAGGGTCCTGGGTTTGGTCCTGGTCAAGGGCACATACCTCAGCTGCAGGCTTGATCCCAGTCCCTGGTCTGGGTGCATGGGAGAGCAACCAATTGTGTCTCTTTCACATCGATGTTTCTCTCTCTCCTCTCTCTGTCTCTCCCTTCCACTCTCTCTAAAAAATCCATAGAAAAATACCCTCAGGTGAAGATTAACAACAACAACAAATGGATCAGAGCCTTTCAGAAGGGCTTCTGTTGGGATATTTCCCATGGGAGAGGCAGCTTCTGGTTTGGGGGCAATGCCCAGGCAGGTATGGAAGGAAGAGCAGGCTGCACAGATGCCCTGGCAGAGGAAGTGCTTCCCCTGCAATCTGGATTTTGCTGTCCTGAGCCCGGGACTTTGAGACCCTAGGGCTGTCTCCGGGGAAAGTCCTGCTTCCTCCTCCCCCATGTCTGGGCCACTCTGTAACCGTTTCTGAGAAGTGGGTCTGGGAGGACGGCCTCAGGGCCCTGCATGTTCCTGGGCTAGAAAAGCATTTCTCCTCCCAGTTTCCAGCCGTCCCCTTCTCCTCACTTTCTCTGGGCTGGACCTTGCCCTGGACGTTAGCCATTTCTGTCAAATCTTCTTAATGAGGATCTACACACAGTACGGCATTTGGAGCGCCATTCTGGGCCCATAGCTGGGGGTGGTAGGATTCTACCCAAAGGGCTTCTAAGACGCTTCAGGATCCCCACCAGGTGGGCAGGGAAACCATGAGGAAACGAACGAAACAGACACCCTAATAGATGCTCCCACGGAACACCTGGCATCTTCATTCTCTCTCAGTCTCCATCGGTACCTAATTAGCCCCATTTCCCAGGTGAAAATACTGAGGCTTAGGAAGAGGGGCAGGGCTCCCTGGCTGCTGTTGACAGAGCCATGATGGAAGTACAAACTGCCCAAAATATGGGAGCTGGAAGGCTGTGGGTGAGGCGACATTTGGAGGTTCAGGTGCTGGGATGGTGGTGGTGGGGTTGGGGGTGGGGGTATCCTTTTCTTGCTGTGGTTCCCACCTGGGAGAACTGTGTCCCTCTGGGGTGCTGTTGGCCCTGGGGGGGAGGTGACCTGACCGCTCTGAGTCTCAAGTCAGCTCTTTTTTTTGTTTGTTTTGTTATTAATCCTCTCCAGGGGTATTTTTCCATTGATTTTTAGAGCGAGTGGAAGGGAGGAGGGAGACAGAGAGAGAGAGAAACATGGATGTGAGAGAGATACATTGATTGGTTTGCTCCCCCATGAGCCCTAACCAGCCTGCAACCGAAGTACATGCCCTTGCTCAGAACTGAACCCAGGACCTTTCAGTCCACGGGCCAATGCTCTACCCACTGAGCAACACCGGCTAGGCTCAAGTGGGCTCTTTTGCAATGTGAAAACAAGAGTTCTGACCATCAGTCTAACCATCAGGTTTGAAGGGAGCATAGGGGCTTAAGGGCCTTTGCAAGGCCTGGCACATAGTAGGTTCTCAGAAGATGAGTTCCCCACCTTTCCTGAGCCTCCCCCTCCCATGGCTCTGACTGTGGGGAGTGAGGGGGTTAGGGTGAACCTCAGGAAGACAGGGTGCTGGGATGCTTGGGCCCCTGGGCCCCTCCCCAGGGAACCCAGAACCCAAGGAAAGGGGCCCCACCTCCTACTTCTTGTGGCACTGGCCACACCCTGCCCTGGGGTGCCCTGGGCAGTCCACTTCCTCCTCCAGCCAGGGCTGCACCCTAGGATCCGCTGGACAGGAGAACAGACAGACCAGGATGGACAGATTCTGGACGACACCCCCCCCCGCGACCCTCCCTTCAGGCAGCTCTGGTCCCAAGGCAGATTCAGGTCTTGGGGGGCAGGGAGGGGGCAGAAGAAGGGGAGAACCCCAACCTGGCGGCCAGGCTGCTGACCTGCGCTGCGCCCGCCCGCAGTGGCCTAGAGGACGCCGTGGTTGATGGGCCGCCGCTGCTCTGGTCTTTTCTTCCTCATCTTCGTCCTCACTGGGGTCTAGCCATTTGATGCAGCCACCCTCATGACAGGCAGGCCCCATCCTCTCCAAGCCCCGCCCTCCACGGCCCTCTCTCCTCTGCCTCCTCACAGGAGGCAGGAGAGGGTCTCAGGGTAATTAATTCTTTGATGCAGAATCCATGGAGGCCTCACGTAACCTCGCTGACTTCCCTCCTGACTACCTACCTGCCAAACAAGGGGGCTTCGTCCCAGAGAGCCCATCCCTATGTGTACTTCAGACGGGATCTGTGAAGCCTGTCACCTCCCCTCTCACCCCATTCATCTATGCATCCACCTGTTCTCATCCACGTACCATCCACCCATCCATCCACCTCTCCAACCCTCTCTCCTTTCAGCCATCCATTTTCCTCCCTTCCCTCTTTCCTTCTTTCTTCCCTCCCTCCCTCCCTCCC